AAAAAAAACTACTTTAAAATACTAGAAGGAATGAAAGGTAATCAAGCGACTCCTTTGTCCCAAGTTGCATATTAGGGTTAATGTAATATTCTTAAATGTATTTTAACATCGTTACATTGACTAACATCGTTACTTTGACTTTAACATCATTACATTGACTTTAACATCGTTACATTGACTAACATCGTTACATTGACTAACATCGTTACATTGACTAACATCGTTACATTGACTAACATCATTACATTGACTAACATCGTTACATTGACTAACATCGTTACATTGACTAACATTGTTACATTGACTAGCATCATTACATTGACTAACATCATTACATTGACTAACATTGTTATATTGACTAACATTGTTACATTGACTAACATCATTACATTGACTAACATCATTACATTGACTAACATCGTTACATTGACTAACATTGTTACATTGACTTTAACATCATTACATTGACTAACATCGTTACTTTGACTTTAACATCGTTACATTGTCTAACATCATTACATTGACTAACATCGTTACATTGACTAACATCGTTACATTGACTAACATAATTACATTGACTAACATTGTTACATTGACTTTAACATCATTACATTGACTAACATCGTTACTTTGACTTTAACATCTTACATTGACGAACATCGTTACTTTGACTTTAACATCGTTACATTGACTTTAACATCATTACATTGACTAACATCGTTACATTGACTAACATCGTTACATTGACTAACATCGTTACATTGACTAACATCGTTACTTTGACTTTAACATCGTTACATTGACTAACATCGTTACATTGACTTTAAATCGTTACATAGACTAACATCGTTACATTGACTAACATTGTTACATTGACTAACATCGTTACATTGACTTTAAATCGTTACATAGACTAACATCGTTACATTGACTAACATTGTTACATTGACTAACATCGTTACAGTGACTTTAACACCGTTACATTGACTAACATCGTTACATTGACTAACATCGTTACATTGACTAACATTGTTACATTGACTAACATCGTTACAGTGACTTTAACATCGTTACATTAACAAACATCGTTACAGTGACTTTAACATCGTTACATTGACTAACATCGTTACAGTGACTTTAACATCGTTACATTGACTAACATCGTTTCATTGACTTTAACATCGTTACATTGACATTAACATCGTTACATTGACTTTAACATCGTTACATTGACTAACATCGTTACAGTGACTTTAACATCGTTACATTGACTAACATCGTTAAAGTGACTTTAACATCGTTACATTGACTAACATCGTTACAGTGACTTTAACATCGTTACATTCACTTTAATCTTGTTACATTGACTAACATCGTTACATTGACTTTAAGATCATTACATTGACTAACATCATTACATTGACTAAAATCGTTACATTGACTAACAGCGTTACATTGACTAACATCATTACATTGACTAACAGCGTTACTTTGACTTTAACATCGTTACATTGACAAACATCATTAAATTGACTAACATCATTACATTGACTAACATCGTTACATTGACTTACATTGTTACATTTACTAACATCGTTACATTGACTAACATCATTACATTGACTTTAACATCGTTACATTGACTAACATTGTTACAGTGACTTTAACATCGTTACATTGACTTTAACATCGTTACATTGACTTTAACATCGTTACATTGACTAACATCGTTACAGTGACTTTAACATCGTTACATTGAATAACATCATTACATTTACTAACATCGTTACTTTGACATTAACATCGTTACATTGACTTTAACATCGTTACATTGACTTTAACATCGTTACATTGACTAACATCGTTACAGTGACTTTAACATCATTACATTGAATTTAATATCTTTACATTGACTTTAACATCGTTACATTGACTAACACCGTGCATTGAATAACATCGTTACATTGACTTTAGCATCGTTACATTGACTTAAACATCGTTACATTGACTTAAAGATCGTTACATTGACTAACATCGTTACTTTGACTTTAACATCATTACATTGACTTTAATATCTTTACATTGACTTTAACATCGTTACATTGACTAACACCGTGCATTGAATAACATCGTTACATTGACTTTAGCATCGTTACATTGATTTTAACATCGTTACATTGACTAACATCGTTACTTTGACATCCTTACATTGACTTTAATATCTTTACATTGACTTTAACATCGTTACATTGACTTTAGCATCGTTACATTGACTTTAACATCGTTACATTGACTTAAACTTCATTACATTGACTAACATAGTTACTTTGACTTTAACATCGTTACATTCACTTACATCGTTACATTGACTTTAACATCGTTACATGGAATAACATCGTTACATTGACTTTAGCATCGTTACATTGACTTTAAAATCGTTACATTCACTTACTTCGTTACTTTGACTTTAACATCGTTACATTCACTTACATCGTTACATTGACTTTAACATCGTTACATGGAATAACATCGTTACATTGACTTTAGCATCGTTACATTGACTTTTACATCGTTACATTGACTTACATCTTAACATCGACATCATTAAATCTGTAACATCGCTACCTTGATTTCAACATAGTTACAATAACTGTAACATCCATGCATTGACTTTAACATCAATAAATTGACTGTAACATCAATACATTGATTGTAACATCAATATATTGACTGTAACATCGTTATTCAATTTAACACCTTTACATTAACTGTGACATCGTTGCGTTGGATCGCTTTTTACGAATTTACCATTGATTTCTTCTGGCCTAAGATACACTGGATGTTTTAAGCTGTATAGACTTGGCAGCAGAGCTGCCACTCAGTTTTTTTTAATTCCCAAGATTTGGTCAAAACATTTCCCAAGATTTCCCAAGATCATGAAAATATATTAGATTTTTTTTTAAAAAGGATCTTGGGAATTAAAAAACAACAACTAATTTTTGGTCCTGAATGGGGTAGTGAATTCCCAAGATCTTGGAAAATTTTCCAAGGTGTGGCAGGCCAGCTAGGCAACCGTTTCTTCCAAACAACTAGTACAACAACAGTGCTGGAGGCAACACGTAGTCGATTTTTTTTTTCAAGGACGACCGTCAGCCCAAATCCTCCCATGGGTGGATGGGTTAGAGCCGGTATACATCCACGCGAAGGTCCAGGCAGCATTGGGGTTGACAAGTGTGCACCGACCACTTCAACGTCGGGGAGGGGCGAGAGAGGGTGGGTGTTACTCTCATTAGTTTGTCGGCCTAATGTAAAAAGATTTGTGTGGATGAAGGAAGCCAGTTGAAGGATGCAGAGTTCGTAGGGTGTGTGTAAGTGTGTGTGTGTGTGTGTGTGTGTATGTGTGTGACTATGTTGACGTATTTACTATCTCGACATAACAGTAAAACCCAAAAGCAATAAGCTAGGGCTACGTTGAAAACTTCAGTAAAACTTGAGGGTCTTTGTGTGTGCTGCACTATACCTCATGTATTTTTTACTTGACCATAACTTACAGATAGAAGAGATTTACTCAGAAAACCGTTAAGAGTGTTAAGAAATATAAGGGCATTATGTCTGAGATGTGTGGCTGGCATTTGTTCATGATAGGTTGTAAAATATGAAACAAACATTTCAAAATATTTTAAAAACAGTTAAAGTCTTTTACAATGAACATGTTTCCTTGAACTTTCAACTTCCGAGTAATGGAATTGGACCAAAATAAAAATTTAAAAAATAAATTATAACTAAAGAAGAATATCAAAAGGTGCATAAAGAACGAGTGCCTTATGGTGGTGAGTACGTTATGATGGCGAGTGCCCTATGGTGGAGAGTGCCTTATGGTGGTGAGTACGTTATGACGGCGAGTGCCCTATGGTGGAGAGTGCCTTATGGTGGTGAGTGCGTTATGATGGCGAGTGCCCTATGGTGGAGAGTGCCTTATGGTGGTGAGTACGTTATGATGGCGAGTGCCCTATGGTGGAGAGTGCCTTATGGTGGTGAGTGCCTTATGATGGCGAGTGCCCTATGGTGGAGAGTGCCTTATGGTGGTGAGTACGTTATGACGGCGAGTGCCCTATGGTGGAGAGTGCCTTATGGTGGTGAGTACGTTATGACGGCGAGTGCCCTATGGTGGAGAGTGCCTTATGGTGGTGAGTACGTTATGATGGCGAGTGCCCTATGGTGGAGAGTGCCTTATGGTGAAGAATGCCTTATGGTGGTCAGTGCTCTACGGTGGCGAGTGCCTTATGGTGGTGAGTACGTTATGATGGCGAGTGCCCTATGGCGGAGAGTGCCTTATGGTGGTGAGTACGTTATGATGGCGAGTGCCCTATGGTGGAGAGTGCCTTATGGTGAAGAGTGCCTTATGGTGGTCAGTGCTCTACGGTGGCGAGTGCCTTATGGTGGTGAGTACGTTATGATGGCGAGTGCCCTATGGTGGAGAGTGCCTTATGGTGGTGAGTACGTTATGATGGCGAGTGCCCTATGGTGGAGAGTGCCTTATGGTGGTGAGTACGTTATGATGGCGAGTGCCCTATGGTGAAGAGTGCCTTATGGTGGTCAGTGCTCTACGGTGGCGAGTGCCTTAGGGGGGGTGAGTACCTTATGATGGTGAGTGCCTTATGGTAACGAGTGCCTTATTATGGTGTGTGCCTTATGATAATGAGTGCCTTAAGTGGGCGAGTGCCTTATGATGGTGAGTGCCTTACGGTAACGAGTGCCTGATGATCAGTGAGTGCCTTATGATGGTGAGTGCCTTACGGTAACGAGTGCCTGATGATAGTGAGTGCCTTATGATGGTGACTGCCTTATGGGGGTCAGTGTCCTATAAGAGCAAGTGCCTTATGGTGGCGCTGCACAAGAGCTGGGAATTTCTTTTTAAACAGGAAAGACACAGATTTTTTTTCTTCAAAAGTGGCTCTTTAATCTTCTGAACTACTATTGCTATGTCCACCAATTTTTAGAGCATTTTTAATGTTTTGTCGCTTAGTTTTAGTAGCCTTAGATTTCTTGGCAGTTTTCGCAGGTTGCGCGGGCGTGGTCGCCTCCGCCCACTGGTGCTCCGAGCTGGCGTCCGACTTGATGTAGTCAGGGCTGGTGATCATGAAGCGACCGTCTGATGCCTGCTTTATGGCCGAGTACACAATTTTAGGGGAAATAACGCGATTCTGCCGGAGCAGATGGGGCACATCTAGGGTGGAGCGAGACTTGTACATGTGAAGGAAATGGAGTCGGAACGTTTTGACATCTCTCAGTCTGAAAGTAAAAATGACATTGACGATATCTCGGTAATGAAATGACTCGGTGACGATATCTCGGTAATGAAATGACTCGGTATCGATATCTCGGTAATGAAATGACTCGGTGACGATATCTCGGTAATGAAATGACTCGGTGACGATATCTCGGTAATGAAATGACTCGGTGACGATATCTCGGTAATGAAATGATTCGGTGACGATATCTCGGTAATGAAATAACTCGGTGACGATGGAGACGAGCTGAAATAATTAGGCCTATCTGATCGTCCAAGGTAAGGAATGCCTGTGATCTTAATGCGACCGTAATCAGGCATGAACATAGATTTGGAAATGACAACCAGGAATGTAAATACCGAGTCCAGATAGAACAAACCAGATAGAACAAATGGAAACAACTAAATACGTATTCTAGTTAATCCAACAGAATTTGCATTCAGCTGGAACAGAATAATAAATTTGTTTGGAGATCTGTTGGATGAAGACCGAAGTGTATGGGATGAAGACCGATGTGTGTGGGATGAAGACCGATGTGTGTGGGATGAAGAACGAGGTGTATGAGACGAAGGTCGAGGTGTGTGGAAAGAAGATCCAGGTGTGTTGGATGATGGCTGAGTTGCGTGGGACGAAGGCTCAGGTGTGTGGGATGAAGACCGAGGTGTGTGGGATGAAGGTCGAGGAGTGTGGGATGAAGACAGAGCTGTATTGGATGGTGGCTGAGGTGTGTGGGATGGGGGCTGAGGTGTGTGGGATGGTGGCAGAGGTGTGTGGGATGGTGGCCGAGGTGTGTGGGATGGTGGCCTAGGTGTGTGGGATGGTGGCTGAGGTGTGTGGGATGGTGGCCGAGGTGTGTGTATTCTGGGGCATCATTCTTAGGCCCAACAACTATAGGGCTTCAACGGGCTTAAACGGATGCAGTTTAATTGCACAGGGTCCGAGTGTTTTAAGACAATATCCGGTGGGTCCGACAGTTACAAAAAATAGTAAACCTCTCACTTTTTAATAAACAATAGGCCTACAGGCAGTACTACATCTTACCTGTCGGCCTTTAAACAACTTTCCTTTTAAAGACATTCCTACACAATACCCCTGGCTCGTCATTGATTAATATAACGGTCGCCTCCCCCAGAGGAAAAAAAAATCACTTTTTACCCGATTTCAACCGTCACATAGGACGCTCGCGGAGTGACAACATTTAAAAAAAAAATAATAATAATTTTTTAACTCAGGATTATTAATAAAAACATGTTGATCAGGGGTAGGGCCGGTTGTGAAAACGAAGCAGGACACACCAGAAGCACAATATCTATCGGAGTTGGGAAAAACTCTTCATTTAGGAAACGCCCTTGCTAAAGAAAGTTGTTTCTAAATATATTTTTAGACGTTTAATAAAACATTACAAAATATAAATTAAATCTACAAAGTCCACGTTTTTAATTTCTAAACTAAATAATGTTCAACTTAAAAAAAAAATACACCCCCAAATATATATATATATATATATATATATATANNGGCCGTCTGACACCCAGACACGACCATCCATCTGACCAGGGCATTTACCTGGAACGTCTAGACCATGGCGACAATCGAGAAAAGGGGGCGGGGAGAGGAACTATGGGACAGGGAGGTATAAATAGGGATCTCTGGACGGGACGAGAAGGAGAGCGCGACCGGATGGTTAGCACAGAAGGCGGCCAGACTGAGAACTAGATAGAGGGAGAAGTCAGAGTTGTGAGACGAGTGAAAGTGTAAGCAAGTGACAGCCAATAAAGAACACGTGTTTAATCATCAAATGTATCACCGGAGTTGTTTCCTTATTGAGTACCAGATCTAGATGAAGTTTAGCTAGAGAGTAAGCAAGGTTTCCTTACAATATATATATATATATATATATATATATATATATATTGATATATATGATTATTCTGTTTTAAAATTTATGTCTTTGGCGTTCGACACCCGAGTTTCCCAAATCATTGCTAGACTTAATTGAATATGTCAAGATGTGTTTTACAATGCTTCCGTTATTCGCCATAGGCTAAACGTTAATAGGGTTGCAATAATGTGAATAGACAAGTGCTTGTGTGGTGTGTGTGTGTGTCGGGGGGGGGGGTGTTCTTGAAAAGTGGTCATGGAAAATTAATAATGGGCTAAATATATCTCTTGAAGGAGCAGTTACAGCGAAGTATTGGAATGTACAGGAGGTTTTTCTTGGTATGTCATACAGAAAATTCAATGCATAAATCTGACCGCAAACGAAAAATTGAATGGTTGAATATAAATATAATGCGAAAATAACAACAACTACATTGCAACAACAAACACACTGATCCTACCCTCCATCTCCAAAAAAAAAAAACAACAACAAAAAACCCAACCTAAAACAAAACGTTTATTTATCATACTCTACACCAGGGGTCTCCAAACTTTTCAGCCCGAGGGCCGCATTAACTATCTAACAGCAGTTCGGGGGCCCACTTCACACCAGTGGTCCCAATGAAAAAGAATATAAAACATATTTTATTATTTATTTAATATTATTTTATTCATTTATTCTTCATTCTTTAATAAAACATTGAAACATAACACACCAACACCTGTATTAGTTGGAATGGTGAAATTGTTTCCTAGATGCCAAAATGGCAGACATTTCTGGCTTTAGATTTGATGTCCTTAACATCAACAGTGACCTGAGATTATCATCAGACAAAATTTGTTCGTCACATATTTCATTCTTGAAAATTTTGTTCACACAGGTACGTCGTTCCAAAGATTGAAAGGTACCTTGATGCAAAAGTTTCGACATTAGGAAAGTCTTCTTTGAGCAAAAACTAGTAAAAAACCACCAGTCCTTCTTTATACTTGTCCCTACGTAGGTCATTTGCTTGCAACCCAATGACCCCCAGCTGAAGTTTATATGGGCAACTGGCCACAACTGCTTAAAAAGGGTTTTGAAACAGTCTCACATCTTTTGCCTTCGAATCCAAGTCAGAAAACCGCTGCTGAAACTGCAGCTGGAGGTTTTGATGATCTCACATGCAAATGAGGTGGGGAACTCCACTGTTGCTTAAGCCATGAAGACCTTGGACGGCTGAAAGTGCTTCAAGTTGTATTTGTTCCAAAAACAAGATAAATTTAGATCTGAAGGCCTCCAAAAAAAAAAAAGGGGGGGGGGTGTACAGATCATAAACTAAATTTTCCTCTCCTTGTAGTTTTAGGTTCAGAATTTGTAAATGCCTAGTTGTGTCTGCAGCAAAGGCCAATTTCCATACCCACTCTTACCAGACAGTAATGGCTGTGGCTTGCTTTTACTTTCCAAGAAGTCACCGAAATCCTTTCATAACTTAAATACTCTGCTCAGAACTTTCTTACAACTTAGCCATCTTACTGCTGTGTAATATGGTAAATCTTGCGATTCTGTGTCTGCATCTTTCAACATGTTTCGGAACTGTTTGTGGTTGAGCCCATTTAACCTAATTAAATTCCCCACCTTCACCACACCTACGCTGCTAATGTCCACATATTTAGCACACAAAGCTTGCTGGTTAATAATACAGTTCAGGAACACTGGTTGTAGAATGTTTTTCTCATTACACATCTGCTTCATTTGTCCAACCAAGCCTTTCTTTATGTCACTTATGTTCTTTCCTCCATCAACATTCAGGCAACCAATGTTAGTCCAGTCCATGTTATAATCAGCAAATGTTTTTTTTCAACTCATTGAATATATCCCATCTGGTAAAAGTGTCGTAGATTCTATATAAGGAAGTAAGCTCTTGTGCTATGTTCATGTCACCATCCACACCTCTATTGAACACAAGCAGTTTAGAGATGAATCAGCCTTCCAACAATTTTTCCATTGCAATTGAAAAATGTTGAAACTTGTTTGCAATTTCGCAATCTGAGTCACAATGTTTTCACCCATGTCTGCAACACGGCGGGCAATGGTATTTGCAACCAAAGCTACATGTTCAAATTTTCTGGGCAAAGTTCCACCACAAACAAAGCTTACTTCACTATTTCACCATTTGTAAACAGTTTGCCATTTTTAGCCAGAACGTGGGCAACTTTATAACTGGCCTTAGTCAAGGATTCATTTTCATTTGAGGATATACTGAACAATGTCCTCTGAGACACGGACTTTATCCTCAAAACTGTGCATATTTCTCCTGATGTTTGCTTTGAGGATGAAGGCGCAGGTTGTATTCTTTCATCAAAGCCATGGTTTCGTTACGTTATATCATCTCAATATGAACGGAAGTAGAAAAACTAAGCAGCGAATAAGGTTTTGCAAGGCAGTGATCGTTGGAAATCATCGTGCACTACTGCGCGCCTCTATTTTAATTCGGTAAAAACATAACGTCCACGTAAGCGGCCAGGATTCACGGAAATTTCCGTAATTTTTTTCCGTAGACAAAAAAGGACTCCACGGGCCGGATCAGAGTGCCTCGCTGGCTGCATGCGGCGCGCGGGCCGTAGTTTGGAGACCCCTGCTCCACACAATAAAAAAATAAACGTATTTTCATAATATAGAGCAGGCCTGCACAAGTTTTTCATTAATGATTACGGCCCGCCTTACATTTTGAGCTGTGCTGTCATGATAAAGAGTAATGTTGTTGTTTTTTTTTTGCCCCACCTGAAGACCTGAAATAGTTTAATGTTTTCATTTCGTCCAGACCAGCCCCCAACCCACTTTGTGGAAAAGTTTAAAATGATCTATCAATGCCGCCTTACTATTAAGGGCTTACGATTCAATGTTCTAGGTACTGTTAATGGCATACGATTTATTGTTGCAGGTTCTGTAGGTGGCTTCCGATTCCATATCTAATCTGATGTGTACTATCTCCAAGGGCCTTTCCTAATCCCACAGATACGACAGTCTTCTTTATATTTAAAGATGGAATAACTTAAAACGGGAACACGAGCAGCACCCAATACAGCTGTTCCGGAGATCTAGAGATATTCATGTTACATTAATACCGCTTAATGAGATGAAGCAAGGCTAGAATACGCCATGGGCGCCCGCAGAAAACTTTCTGGGGGGGGGGCAAAAAAATCGATTAGCTTTCCAGGGGGGGGGGCAAAAAATTGTGAGTAATATTTTAATGTCGTTTTAATTTACTGTAGCGTATTTGTATGGCGAACAAACAGACAAGAAATCAGCTTAGTTACTTTCTCTTTATTTTCTCTTTACTTTAATAAATTTTTTGTCTATTTTTGTCCAAAAAAAAATTTATCCAANTATATATATATATATATATATATATATATAATGAATATATATAATGAATTTACCCAACAACAAAATAGTCGTGGTCATCTCAACCAAAATAAAACTGCCAAATGAGCAGACTAAATGTGGATCTCTTAACAACGACAACGTCTTCTTCATCCCTCCATTAAGGGCCCAAATTTCAGAATTCCCATAGAAATGCCTGCATGATATTGTTGCCGTGACATCAGTGCACGACGTTGTCAAAGTTGAAAAGTATTTCGAATTCTTTACTGCAATGATGAATCAAGTAAATTAAAGATTTTTAACAAGTCAAATAGATCTTTGAAGACGGTTCCGTGTCAAGGGATGTTTGAGAGCTTTTCTCCTGCAACTTGTTATTTCACCGCGAGATTTATATTAATATATGTTGGGAGGTATCACAGCAGTGACAAACGGTGCCTTTAAATTAACAGCCCCCACCCCCCCCCCTTTCTTAGCTTGCCACAGAACCGTCCAAAAAACAAGAGGCCCCCGCTTACTTTTCCAGAATGCTGTCAATCTCGACGCAGGTGACGGTAAATGACTTAATTCTAAGTTGGGCATCTTTTTGACGCATATTGGCCAGGAGGAACTCGAGGAGGTTGCTCGACGACTCCGGGATGACGCAGACGAGGCTGTCGGAATCTTGCATTTCTACCAGAATCGATGAGGCGTACAGGTGGATGTAGTTGACGAGGGAGTTAACGTGGCATTCTGGAAGAGTCTGTAGAGAAATTCTGTAACCAGCACCTTGAGATGTGAGAACAAGCTCATTAAACCATTGTAAATATACATTTAAATAAAAACATGATGTTAATCTTTCGACTTATTTGTATTGAATACTATAATTAGATATTTCTTTTTAATTAATTTAAAAACTACTCATCAAAATTAGACACATGTAACACACATGCCTATCCCCCATCCCCACCCCCCACCCCCCAACAAAAAATATCTATTCGAAATCGCACAATTAAAATTTTTGGCATTCCATAATTTTCCAAAGCTTTCATCGACACAATATGTTTGTTTGAAAATGAAATGTCACATTAAAATATGGCGTAAGTGGGCCGTCAAGCTAATGCTCTTTATTCCCTCCCCAAAGCCCTACCTCCCTCCCCCCCTAAGCCCGGTACCGGGCCGCGAAGCGGCATTTTGGATATGTCCCTTTGCCACGACCGCCCGCCCCCCCCCCCCCCCCCACGCCAAGTCCGCTCGATCGGGTTCCGCTTGGGGCCGCCCCAACCCAAAGATACCCGGTCGGTCCGCCACTGTGTTAGCACACAGGTTATTTTTCAATAATTATAGTTTTATTTAGGAATATATTATTTATAATGGCGCTCAAGAGGTCTTGATGCGACAAAGAAGATTCACTTTTTAATATGGTTTTGTGTACTTACATTGGCGTACAATATCATTAATTTATGACCACGTTAGGGCCGATCACTACATTTTACAGCCATTAATATCAAGTTAATCATATTTAAAAAACGCGTCATGAAGGAGATGACGTCAGCACCAGTGCTACAGGATGCGAGCTGTGCTGTGCATGCAGGAGTTCAACATAATGAAACACTTTTTTTAGTCTAACTTATCTAATGGTTTTTTTCCGATAATTTAAATATATATATATATATATATATATATATATATATATATAATTGCTTGCTTCTTAAATAGTTCAATGATGTTTAAAACACCACACCAAATTTAGGTTGTGTATCTTTATCATTTTAATAAATTTTACTTTCTTTTCTCAATTAATTTGCATTTTATAAATTTATAAAGGGGAACAGTAGGAACCTGGCATTCACTGAATCACTCATCCGTCTCAATCACAACAAACCCTGACAAGGTTGACAAGGTTCATTCTAATATACATTTCTCCACACCCGATTAATTTGCATCTGTATTATAAATTTCAATGTAAAAATAGATAAACATGTTTGTTACGCATGGTTATAGTTTTGAAAATGTAAGATGTGTTAAGATTTGACTATTATGATAAACAGTACGTAACAAAGGACTGAGAAAAACAGTCTATAAATAGAAACGCTACCAAAGCTAGCGATACTAACAATTTTTAGTTTAATTTTGCAAAGAAATTCTATAAAAATACAAATGCGAGTACAAAAGCAAAAAAAAAAACTATTTCAATTTACAGCAAATGAAATTGGTATGCTCCTCAAAATACAAATATTAATTTTCACACATACAATAATATAGTGACTGGTATAGCAAAATTATCTTTCTCGCACTCTGTCCTTAACTGACTCGCTCTATCTATCTCTCTCGCTCTTTCTTTAACAGTCTCGCTCTATCTATCTCTCTCGCTCTTTCCTTAACAGTCTCGCTCTATCTATCTCTCTCGCTCTTTCTTTAACAGTCTCGCTCTATCTATCTCTCTCGCTCTTTCCTTAACAGTCTCGCTCTATCTATCTCTCTCGCTCTTTCTTTAACAGTCTCGCTCTATCTATCTCTCTCGCTCTTTCTTTAACTGTCTCGCTCTATCTATCTCTCTCGCTCTTTCTTTAACAGTCTCGCTCTATCTATCTCTCTCGCTCTTTCCTTAACTGTCTCGCTCTATCTATCTCTCTCGCTCTTTCTTTAACAGTCTCGCTCTATCTATCTCTCTCGCTCTTTCTTTAACAGTCTCGCTCTATCTATCTCTCTCGCTCTTTCCTTAACTATCTCGCTCTATCTATCGGCTAAGATATTAGGAAACCTATTTATAGGAACACAATTTAGAGCGTTCTATTACAGGATTTCTATAAATTGCGTCATCTAATAGCTTTCTTTAGAATAAATAGAACACATTAGAGTGTAAATAACCTTTTCCCAGCCAAGAAAGGGGTTGACAAGAAAGTTGTGACACGGCACATTTAATCGGTGACGCCAATAAGTGGCCATACTAACAAGACAATTGTGGGGGCTAAAAATAGCTCAACGTTGAAGTGAAAATCAGACCCCTGTCAAGACTGTAACAGTGTTCTTTAAAGATGAGGAAATATACCTCTGATTATAATTTTTGTTTAGAAAATGTCGCCCAATGTGTGGTCAAAGCCCAGAAGGATTGGGCCATTAAACTGAGTTAGTTTGCTTTTAATCGGTAAAAGATTTATTTTAGTTTCCAGCTTTATTTTTGTACTCGCAAATCTGAATACCAACACATTACGTAATGTCGATTCAGCAATACAAGTTGTAATGGTGATTTACGAATAACAGTTGTAATGGGGAGTTACCCAAAGAAGATGTAATGATTACTTACAATGAAAAGATGTCACGGTGACTAACCAAGAAAAGATGTGAAGGTGACTAACCAAGAAAAGATGTGAAGGGACTAACCAAGAAAAGATGTAAAGGGACTAACCAAGAAAAGATGTGAAGGTGACTAACCAAGAAAAGATGTAAAGGGGAATAACCAAGAAAAGATGTAAAGGGGAGTAACCAAGAAAAGATGTAAAGGTGACTAACCAAAGAGACATCAATGTAATGTAAAGGTGACACGACATTAAGAAGAGATTTGAATGTGTAGTGAAGGTGACACATTAATAAGAAATGCATGTGTGGTAAAGTTAATACATTAAGAAGAGATTCATGTGTTATAAAGGTGACTCAAAAAAGTCTCTCTCTCTCTCTCTCTCTCTCTCTATATATATATATATATATATATATATATATATATATATATATATATATATATATATATATATATATATATATATATATATATATATATATATATAGTTATAGATATAATCTCTCTCTCTCTCTCTCTCTCTCTCTCTATATATATATATATATATATATATATATATATATATAGATCGATATAGATATATATATATATATATATATATATATATATATCGATATAGATATAGTGATCGATAGATCGATTAGATAGATGTGATGTGATGTTTAAGATGACTCACCAAGAAGTGATGCCACGTAGGCCATGCTTCCAATGCACATTATCTGTCCCCCAGCCAGGACTGCGACTCTGTTGGCAACCCTCTTGGCAAGCAAAACGGACGTGGTCGTAATGATGGTCGTGTGGTGAGGCAACTTCCTTTTTATCATTTTAATCAGATTCTCCAGGTCACAGCCTTTTAATCCATTGTCCGGCTCGTCCAAGATAATAATCTGACAATAGATAGAATCGTTGATGACAGCATCTTAGGTCGCTTACACTGATTAAATTATAAATGGTCAATTTCATGAGTTTTTTTTTAACACGTCTGTTAGTGACATTGGTTCATAAATTTGCACACAGAAATGAACTTTATGTATGTGAAGATTTCCTAATGTTGGCTTGACTTCAAAGACTTTTGTGTATGATGTAAAAATGTTTTGTTTTTTTTAAAATTAAGGAGTCAATACATTACTTTTTAACACAGAGTTACCCAACGTGGGGTGCTCCCACCTACAGGAGGTGATATTTATTGGGGGTGAGGGGAACATTGGAGGTGGCAGGTGATATTTATTGGGGGTGAGAGGAGCATTGGAGGTGGCAGGTGATATTTATTGGGGGTGAGAGGAACATTGGAGGTGGCAGGTGATATTTATTGGGGGTGAGAGGAACATTGGAGGTGGCAGGTGATATTTATTGGGGGTGAGAGGAACATTGGAGGTGGCAGGTGATATTTATTGGGGGTGAGAGGTACATTGGAGGTGGCAGGTGATATTTATTGGGTGTGAGAGGAACATTGGAGGGTGCAGGTGATATTTATTGGGGGTGAGAGGAACATTGGAGGTGGCAGGTGATATGTATTGGGGGTGAGAGGAACATTGGAGGTGGCAGGTGATATTCATTGGGGTGAGAGGAACATTGGGGTGGCAGGTGATCTTTATTGGGGTGAAAGGAACATTGGGGTGGCAGGTGATCTTTATTGGGGTGAAAGGAACATTGGGGTGGCAGGTGATATTTGTTGGGGTGAGAGAATCATTGGAGGGTGCAGGTGATCTTTATTGGGGTGAAAGGAACATTGGAGGTGGCAGGTGATATTTATTGGGGTGAGAGGGTCATTGGAGGGTGCAGGTTATATTTTTTTGGCGTGAGAGGAACATTGGAGGTGGCAGGTGATATTTATTGGGGATGAGAGGAACATTGGAGGTGGCAGGTGATATTTATTGGGGATGAAAGGAACATTGGAGGTGGCAGGTGATATTTATTGGTGTGAGAGGAACATTGGAGGGTGCAGGTGATATTTTTTTGGGGTGAGAGGAACATTGGAGGTGGCAGGTGATATTCATTGGGTTGAGAGGAACATTGATAATAAAGAAATATGTTTTTCAATTTAAAATGCATTTTTAAACACATAACTTGAAGCAAATGTAATAGTTTTAACACATTACTTGCAGCAAATGTAATAGTTTAAACACATGACTTCCAGGAAATGTAATAGTTTAAACACATGCCTTACAGCAAATATAATAGTTTAAATACGTAACTTGCAGTAAATGTAATATTTTAAACACATAACTTGCAGCAAATGTAATAGTTTAAGCACATAGCTTGCAGCAAATCTAATAGTTTAAACACATAACTTCCAGTAAATGTAATAGTTTTAAGACATAACTTCCAGTAAATGTAATAGTTTCAACACATGACTTCCAGTAAATGTAACAGTTTCAACACATGACTTCCCCCACTGTTCACCTTTGGATCGCCCATAAAAGCTATGGCCAAGTTGAGGTAATTCGACCACGGTCCGGGCAGTGTCCCGGCCTTCTGGTCCAACTTGTGCTCCAGGTTCCACTGCCTCGCCACCACCATGAACTCCGACTTATTGGCCAGCAGAGGGAAACTTTTCAGCTAGGGGGAGAACGTAACACGTTTAACATTATACCTTCTGTGGAGAACAGCGTGGGCTGATTTCACTACCGTGTGTTATAACAAACCCAAGGACAGGACTTGGTTACAAAATACGCAAGGTGGAAAAATATTTCTGTGAAAAGGGCAGCGGTATTTTAAACGCCGATTTCCGAGACACTTTAACGCAAAGGGATAACATAGAAGCGTTTATCAAAACCACGGCTGTTTGTGTTATTGAAAATGTTGGCATCTGTACTTTATTTCCAGGAAACAGTAAAAGACGCCAGCGCCTTCACGAGCAGCATACTCGCTTATAGCACTTCAGTGGCTGGGCAAGCCATTTTTCTTACCGAACTGAAACATTTTGTTGTTGTTTACAGAAAGGTTGCTGATGCTAAAATGTCCTGCCGATATTAATATGATTTTATGCGTTATTTGACCCCTCGGTGAAATACCATTTTTATAACATACTTAAGTTAAACCATTGAACATAGTCAAAACAGGTCACTTTTATGTAAGTACGTACATTTCATTTTCATTTTATTTTAACTTTAATAAGCTTAATTATATATTACTGTATATACAGCTCTAAATTGAATCGCTCCACACGCGATACATTGTTTGTTACCAATCATTAGTACC